TGACAATTTGGTACCATCTATAAATAAGAAACTATAATGTTAAGTAGTTTTCAGTAAATGAAACTTATTTGGTGCAATCACCATATGTGGGAAATAAAGCTATAGCTCTTTAGATTACACAGTGCTATTTTATAATGTATTGCTATTTGAGGTGTATTGAAAAATTGATATTGATGCTTAGTTCAAGTAAGAAATAAAGATTATGAGAGAAAAATGTTCAAAAAGTTCATTTGGCTACAGTATTGTAAATAGAAAACATAACTTTTGAAAAAATGAACTGCTATAAATTTTTCAAACCTTGTCAGAGTTAATGAATTTTAGTTTCATCAACTATTTAATGCCGACAAAGTTTGAGATTGCTCACTATTAATTTTAAAAAAATTGATAGTAAATTTAGGTTGGAAGTAGATTGCTTTCAGTAAATCCGTGAAACATTAATTACTATTTTGTACTAAATAGTGCAAAGCAAATAATAGAAAACAAAAGAGTGTCTACAATTTTGTGCAATCATGTAATTTTTACTTGAGTTTTATGGATTAACTGAAAGCTCTCTATCTTATAGATATATTGACACTTTTGTGGTACTTACAGGAACTGGTGTCTCTTTATCCAATGGATGAATTATCATTGTTTGCCTCATTGGAGGTTGTGGATAGTTGAATCTACATGGACTGTTTGTATTCTTACGACATGTGAATGTCTATGTATCTGTATATTAACAAGATTCAATAATTCTGGATTATCTACTGGTTTATGACATGAGATGATTTTATCAGTAAATGCTGTTACTTCTGTATCAGTAAGTACTTGAAACTGTGGAGCCTCTTCAAGCCATATTTGCATGCAGATATGAGGTGATCCTCTTTGTTGATATTCGACCCTGTAAAACCAGTCAGATATTTTACCTAAAGGTTCAGCAGAACTCAAGAGAAAGTTTGTCAGAAATTGATTCACTTGAAAATCAAAATGCCTGGCACATGTTACAGGGTCACTTTGAATTAATCGGCTTCTATTCTCCCAGTTAAAATTCTCTATTTGTTCATCTGTATATTACTTTTTATCAACTACTTCTCCAAGGATTCTTAGTAAGTGTAACCACTGGGTTTCAGCAGATGACAAACTACAAAACAGTGTAGCAGGACCCAGCTGTCTTATCATAGCAAACAAATCTCTTTTAGCTTTCTCAAAATATGGAGCTGAACCTCTTAATGCATTTAGAAATTTATAGCCCTCATCATGAAGAATTAATCTGTCTAAAGCTCCTTGTCGTTTCAATTGCCCTGCCTTAATATTTTTATTGTTTCCTTTACATTTTCTAAGAGCAATGTGTGATTTTCCTTAAGGATTTTCATTTGTAGCTTCTTTGTTTTATAGAAAATATTTTCAATGCACATGGCAGCTCGTCTATCTGATCGTCTTTAAGTTCTGACTTACAAATATCACTAAAGGTAACTTTGACTTGTCGATGTTTCATTTCTGGTCAAGGCTGTCCAAGAAATATTCCAGGATATGCTAACTCTTCACAATATTTATCCCTAAAAACACTCAATGGTCTATTCAGCCGGAGCAACATTGAGAATATTTTGCCGTTTATTTTCTTCTAAAAAGTCTGTTGCAGTTAACATAGTATCAGTTACACCAGCAATTGGTTCTACTTCATCTTCATTTAATACATCATATTCATCTACATTTAAATAAGTGAGATCTGTGGAGGCATTATTCTGATCTGATCGTGACTCCACACTGTTGGTGTTATCATCATTATTACTTTGTCCAATTTCAATGTTATATTTGTTGATCCAATCATTATCAAATACTATTCCTTCATCTTTATATAAACTGCTATTTGTCATTAACCATTTTGCTGCTCGCATGACCTTGTGTGGTCTTATATACAAAGACAATGCAGAACTTTTGTACTGGAGTTTTCTCTTTAAATTAACTTTGATAGTAGCTGTGTGCCTCTGTAATCTTGGTAACGTGTTTACTGTATGAGTCACATCTGCTGGCACATTAACAATATTACCACATATTTTTAGCTGTCTACCTCTAGGAGCTTGCATAAGCTTTTGAAATGCAATCCTTGGTGCAAGTAGTCGACATTTTAATTCAGTCAAGTCAAAGAAATCTGGCTTTTTTGGAAAAGACATACCATTAGCCACAGCTCATGGTGGGACCTTGTTTTTTTATCAAATGTTTCTTACAAGTGTTACAAATCCACTCTTTGTTATCAACAATGGCTTTATTACATAAATATTTAGTGATATCAGGATTGGACTGTCTAAGTTTGTCCGCATAAGCTACACTATGTCTATACCACAACTGGTCACAACAAGTACAGATGTAAAATAGACCCTCCTTCACTATTTCATGGAATTTATTAATTGAATTAACATTCAACAGATATATTGGTTTTTGATAATCTTCAATTTCGTTCATATTCATTATGCTTAGCTTTTCTCTAAGGAGATGCTAAAGTTGCTTTACGATTTCGTTCATATTCATTACACTTAGCTTTATTCTCTGGAGATGCTAGACTTGCTCTAGATTTCGTTCATATTCATTATGATTAGCTTTTTTCTCTGGAGATGCTAAACTTGCTCTAGATTTCGTTCATATTCATTACGCTTAGCTTTTTTCTCTGGAGATGCTAGACTTGCTCTAGATTTCGTTCATATTCATTACACTTAGCTTTTTTCTCTGGAGATGTTAAACTTGCTCTATGATTTCGTTCATATTCATTACACTTAGCTTTTTTTCTCTGGAGATGCATTAATTTTGGCTCTTTTCTCAGGAGATGTAGTAGATATTCTGTATTGTTTCATATGATCAGCTTTTTGTTGCCTTTTGCTTTTACAATTGTCTAATTTTTCATTAAGTTTGTTGCTATCGTCATTGATATCATTGCTACTGTCAGTTGAACATGTTGAAACAATGCATTTCTCCTATACGACCTATGAATATTGATCTCCTGTTTTGTAACAAATTACTATGTGCATGCTCAATTAACGTCATTTCTCGGAAATTTTGACTTGATTCTATGATATGAATCTTTAAGTTTATTGCATCAGCAACTGCTTGTATGATAATGTTATCAGCCCATGTGCCTTGCTTAGACATATCAGATAAATACTGAACCCATGGTGTGTCTTCTATACTTTCTATGAATTGTTCTGGATTGTCAGTCAAATAAGTAACTCCTAAAGCTCTGATTTCTGCATGATGACTTGAATCACCATATAACTGAAGAGATATAGATTTAAACAAACAATCTCCTCCGCCAACATGCAATGGTCGTAATCCATATCTAGGCATTCTATAGTGCAATACAAAATCTGCATTATCAAATGAAATGCTTTGAATAGTGTTTCTCATGATGAGACCTGGATTTAATTCAACATCCCCTGACAATAATAGCTTTTGCATAGATACATTATATGTCACAGGAGAAATTTTACTTTTCTTAAAACAGAGTGAATAGAAACTGTCTTGTCTCTGAATATAACTTAATCTCCATTGCTTATAATGTTTGACAATTTTATGTAAAACAGATGAAATGGGACCTGACCTTATCACTATTTTCTTATACTTGGATCGAAGTTTTCTATTCTTAAATACAATCATGATCTTTTTTATATTTATTCTGGATGGCTCTCTTTGTCTTCTTCAATTAGATGACTTAGAGCACAATCGGGAAAGAGTACCATATAACCCCATACATTAATTATGCATTCAATATCATTAATTATGTATACACCCAATTGTTTTTAAGACAATGACTTATTCCCATGGGTTTAGCATATATACATTACTAATAAGTACTTACTACTTCAATAAAAGAGAAATTGATTGAAAGCGGCTTTTTCGACTCCATTCCATTCTCACGTTCTTCTTCCTTCTCCCATTTGTTCCCAATGACTTCTCCTCTATTTTTTTCTTTCTCTTTTCTTTCCTTTTTACCTTCTTGGCAGTTCTGCTGAGCCTTGAACCATCGCTCCTCAGACAACGCGTTATTATCAGACCATTATCAAACCATAGCCTTACCACTATGCTACGCAAACCAGTTAGGAGTTCCTCTCCAAAAGCTACTTTTTCTTTTACCTTTCAGTAAAAAAATTTTCATAACAATATGTGCATTGATATAATGCACCAAAGG